TAGACTTGGATCATACACCCACCTTCAAGTTGGGTGGAATGTGGGGGTCTATACTCTGGAACTCTTTGGATGGGAGGCAGATGATATTATTGCTCAGTGAATCAGTGGGAGGCTCAAGGATTACTCCACAGCCCAGAATCCACAACTGGCACGTTTTCTAGAGGCCACAGTCCTTGGGTCATGCACATGACTCTCCAAGACCATGCAGTCTCACTGAGAAACTGCCTGCTGGAGGACACAGCTGTTACTATATCCTTGATTGATTATTTATTTGTTTGTTTATTTATTTATTTATCTGACAGAGAAAGAGACAGTGAGAGCAGGAACACAAGCAGGGGGAGTGGGAGAGGGAGAAACAGGCTTCCTGCCGAGCAGGGAGCCTGATGTGGGACTCGATCCCAGGACCCTGGGATCATGACCTGAGCCGAAGGCAGTTGCTTAACGACTGAGCCACCCAGGCGCCCCCTATATTCTTGATTCTTGATGCCCTCACCAACTACCTTGCCTGGTTAATTCCTACTCATTCACTTCCCACCTTGAAAATGTTATTGTACTTGAATAAAATTTGCCTCATTGATTTAACAAATCCAGTGAGGTTATCAAAAATGTTTTGCAGGGTGTTGATGTCTCAGAAATGGGAAGGTTCGGGTGCCTGGCTGGCTCAGTTGGTTAAGCGACTACCTTCGGCTCAGGTCATGATCCTAGAGTCCCAGGATCGAGTCCTGCATCGGGCTCCCTGCTCAGCAGGGAGTCTGCTTCTCCCTCTGACCCTCCTCCCTCTCATGCTCTTTCTATCTCACTCTCTCAAATAAATAAATAAAATCTTTAAAAAAAAAAAAAGAAATGGGAAGGTTCAACAGGCTGAAGAGACCTAGGAGCTGTCTAGCTACTGAAAAATATGCTAAATGAGACCTAAGAGCAGCCGTGGATTCTTTAAATTACAGTTTTCAAATGTGTCTGCTTTGTATAGGAAGTGATAGGAAGCTCAGAGAAGCATCAAGAGGGTTAGATAAACAGGTTTGAGACCTAGTAAGCCTCCAGGACAATGTCCAAATCACACTACAGAATTGGCCTCCAAACTGTACAGGAAGTTGGTGTCACCCCAAAATCCCTATCAATGGCATTGTTCAGAGATGACAATGGGACAAGGACACTATCACACTGCTGTCAGGAATAAATGATGGGAAACTGCCATCTTATGACAGAATTTACTAACTAAATTTGACAAAATCGTTTTGTTTTTTATTAGGAATTTATATTGTTTAAACTTACAGTAGAAATTCACATGGGGGATAAGAAATTAATGAATATTGACCTAGTAAAAGTAAAGGTAAATATATTTCAAACTTAGGAGGATTTGCCATTGGTGATTTGGCTTTTCCTCTTTTGTGACATAATAGGAAGCGTTTCAAATATAGTGAAGAGAATGGTGTGGCGGACGCCATGTACACATCATTTAGACTTAATTATTAATAATTAGTTATATTTGCTTCACATTTTTATATTGTAAAATATTATAAATTAGACATAACAACACTGCACACCTATTTCAGTATGCACTTCTAAAAATACCAGCACAATTTTCCACAGAACCACAATACCATTACTAAACCTAATAAAAATCAACTATTCTCACATATCATCAGTGTTCGATTGGGGGGGGGTTTCCAAAAACCAATCAACATCAGAAGGCATACCGAAGACATAACCAGAAGAAATGATATTTATAAGAATCTATTATAATTTCCCCATAAAAGACAAAATAAATACCTCCCTTGTACACTTAAGAGGAAATATTTTTCCATAAAATTATCAGGGAATGGGCAATGTAAACCTAAAATTATGCATGAAGGACCTTCCCTGTAGCTGTATGGAGAACTATGTCCATATGTTCCAACATAACTGTGTTTTTTTAGTGGGAATATGTAAGAATTACCGAACCTGAGACATTACATCTCTGCTTTCTCATCACACAGACCCCTGTGTGAAGCGTGCAGACAATCACTACGCAAACAGTAAGAGAGATTGCCACCCCCCAAAACTGTGATCTTTCTGGTTTTTGACTTGGGGGGTCTTTGTGAAGCTGAGTCGATCAACAACCAATCCCTCAGCTACACCCTCATCTCCCTCGCCCTGTGCCTCCTCTGCTCCTAACTCTTCATCGACCCCCCAACACAGCCACCTGCATCCACTGGCAATGCACATTTAGTGTGTGTTTACCATAGGTCTTTCCATTGTTTTGGCCAAAACCATCACTGTGGTCATGGCTTTCAGGTTCACCACACCAGGAAGGAAAGTGAGGTGTGGATCGGTGTCATGGGGCCTCTAATTCTGGCATTCCCTAATGCAAGTGACTCTAATCTGTCTAGGAAGGTCTCCCGGCTTCAGGGACACATACACTCTGAGTCGAGATATGCAATCTTTTACAAAATTCTGCAAATCTCTCCTTACCAGGTGTGCAGTGATCTCATTTTACATTCCATTTCTTGAACCACTTCTCTGTCACCAGGCTTTATTTCACTTTCCTATTTTCCTCATTTACAAAAGTCTTTCCCACACTCCAGTCTCAAACAGGTCTTTCTACTTTTTTCCCAGCATTCCTAAAGGTTAGTTTACAGCTTTCTATCTTCTACTCCTCTGGAATTCACTATTGAGAACTGTAAGAAACTAGCATTCCTTTTTTTTTTTAAATTCAATTAGTGAACACAGAATACATTAGTTTTTGATATAATATTCAGTGACTCATTAGTTGCATATAACACCCAGTGCTCATCACGTCACATGCCCTCCTTAATGCCCATCACCCAGTTACCCCAACCCCCCATCCACCCCCTTTTCCGCAACCCTGTTTTTTTCCTGGAGCCAAGAGTCTCTCATGGTTTGTCTCCCTTTTTAAGTAAAACAACAGGAAAAGGGCTGAGTGTCACCTGTTTCTGAAGCTCCCCATGTGGGGTGTCCACATCACCAGAGATCAGGGTGGGCAGGGGGGAACAGCTGAGCCAAGGACTGGAAGAGCGTAACTGGAAAGAGTTTTAGGCCAGAGGACCCAGCTTTTGGTGAGTCCCACAGGGGCACAGCAAGTGGGCAAACTAAGCTGGGGGCTTCCTGGGAACCCCAAGATACCTGGGGCATGTGCCATTGCATGTAGGCATTAAAGGGGCTTCCAAAACCTTGGGGGATGTTGGCATATCCTGGTCAGACACCCAGAAGGTAGGTACTACACCCCCATTTTTCAGGAGACAATGGGACTCAAATAAGGGGGAGGACCCCAGCTGCTAGAAAGAATACAGTCCTTGGAATAGGCCATGGGGAACTGAGCAAGTGCTGATAAAAGTCTGTAGAACAAGGACGCCTGGGTGGCTCAGTCAGTTGAACATCTACCTTTGGTTTGGGTCATGATCCCAGGGTTCTGGGATGGAGTCCCACATCGGGCTCCCTGCTCAGCGGGAGGTCTGCTTCTCCCTTTCCCTCCACCAGTCCCCCAATCGTACGCTCTCTGTCAAATAAAACCTTTAAAAAAAAAAAGTTCGTAGAACAAATGATCATCGTCCAGTGGTATTTGTGTCAGACATGTGGGTGTTGCTGCAAAGGTCACTAGGAAGAACCAAACATGAGCTGCAGAGCTATGGAGCTGCTGTTGAGACCCCCACACAGCAGGGCCTGTTGCATAGACCAGAACACTGAGGCCTGAGAGCGGTGTAGGTAGGCCAGTTAACCTCACCTAGCACCACCTACACCCACCCCATTTATAGATGGGTAAACCGCAGCCAGGGTAAGGGGTGTGACTTAGCTGTGGTTGCCCAACATGCAAGCCATGGATGAAACACCACCAAGAACACAGCTGGGTACAAGCTAAAGGAGCATCCTGAGTAGAAAAATGACCTAAGAGGGAAGCAGGGTTGATGGCCCAGAGGCTAAACAGTGCCCTCCCATCTCTTGTCTTCAGATGATTCCTGTTTCCCATTCTCCATGCACCATGTTCCCCAGAGTCCAAGACCTGCTACAAGTGGACTTTTAGTGAACATCATACCAGGATTGAAACCGTTGAGGCAGGACTGAGTTGGTTATCTCAGGAGCAGACAAGAAGGCAGCAAGGTGGGAACAAGAAAAGGGGGCCACATCAGAGAGGTGGTCAGGAGCCTAAATGTGTGCAGGCCCTAAGTGGGACTTTGTCCACCAGCCTTCGCATTGTATCCTAGGTACAATAAAGTCACTAGATCAGAGAAATAGGACCCAATCAATATACATGGAGGACCACTGGCTGCACTGAACACACAAGAGGCAAAAGCGACGTATTGACACTAACCGGGAGGCTCACACAGCAGTCAGGGGAAGAGCCACGGCCAGGACTAGAATGCCGAGCAATGAAGAGAAAGCACAAAAGATTAGAGATGTAGTTTGAAGACAGAACTCACATACCAGCTAAAGTACTGAACACTTGTGTGGGAGAAGGAAAGCAAGAAAGGATGACACAGGTTTTTGGCCTAATCAACTAGGTGGGCAGTAGGGCCATTCACTCAAAAGCAGAAGACAAAGGGAGATTTAGGGGACAATCAAATGTTTTGGACACGTCAAGTATGAAATGCCCATGAAACATCAAATGAGAAATGCTGAGTAGGCAGCTGGGCTCCAGGTATCTATCTAGTCTGGGACGCAAGCGTGGGAGACACCAGCAAAGATGGCATCACAACTGCATGAAGCCACCCAATTCGATGCAACAAAAGTCCTGGGACTATCACTTGGAGCAGCCAAGGTCTGGAGAGGTCATCTACTGAGGCTCAGCCCCAGTCTTCAGCCAGGAGTGTGAGGACAAGAAGCCCTCTGCGCCTAAAAACAAAGCCTGGCCTTCTGGAAGCCACGCTGGCTCCCTGAGGATGAGATATGCTCAAGAATGAGGGCAATACTAAGGACCAAGCATTGTGGTGAGCCTGGAACCCAACCATGCCAGATGCCTGCCTCATCTGTACTCAGATGGGTTAGCACACGAATTCACTAATCCATTTTTACAAAAAATAGTTTTATTAGTGCAACATGACATTATGAGATAAAGCACTACACCATTTGACAGGACATTCGAGCACCAGTATACGGTTATACAGCTTCCTCCATAGTCCTTACTACAAACAGCTGCTTAATCTCAGCCTAAAGACTGAGTAAAACATTCTTTCTACAACATGCTGAACACTCACTTCAGGAATTGTAGAAGCTTTTCTAAACGGACCTCCTTCTTCTGACAGGAAGAACATTTCATCTGAAAACCTACAAATGGGTCTTGTGCTTATCTGACAGTACCCAATAGGCTGGTCTCACATCTGTCCCACAGCCATGGCACCAGATCCAATGACCAGCCATGGACAGACCAACCCCACATCTGTCTGACAGAGCATTCCTGGAAAGGCTCTGCACTCAAGACAAACCCCCATACTACCTGGGCAGGGAAAGTGTTCCAGGATGGAAGACAAGCTAAAAGAAATTGAACCTAAACTCTTTATCAGGAGTGTCCAGTGTGGCCTTGGCTACTCCTGCCTGGCGAGGCCTGCAGACCCTTCCACTCTTCTTTCTGGTGGCCTCACCTACAGGCTGCACCTGTGCTGTGCGGGCTGCTGTGGGGGAGGGGACAGACAGTGTCAGAACAGTCATAACAGCTAACATTACCTGCGCCCATTCAACTCTAACCCCTTGGGACAGAAAACTGATTCACTGCTCAAAATTTTAGGGAAGGTATTATCATCAAACTCCACTAGAGACAGGAGCACCTGGGTGTCTCAATTAAGCTTCTGACTCTTGATTTCAGCTCAGGTCATGATCTAAGGGTCAGGAGATCCAGCCCCCCATAAAGCACAAGGCTCTGCTCTCATCCGGGAGTCAGCTTGAGATTCTCTCTCCCACTGCCCCTCCCCACCGAGCGCTCTCTCTCTCTCTCTAAAACAGCCCCAGCTTCTTCTCTCCCTGCTCTCCCAGGCCTCAGTGAGTCGGTGTCCTCCCCCTGCCCGCCCTCGACAGCCCTGTTACTCTGGGCTTCTTCCTGTCACTCCTTGGGCTCTTCCTCCCTACCCTATGGAATCAACTTCTCACCAGTTCTGAGTACCCGAAGGGCCTCGCGCCGCTCAGCTTCCATCTGAGCCCTGTAGTCCCCAAACAAGGAGTGCATCAGCTGCCTCTTCCGGGGCAGGGGGGTTCTTTCGCTGCGAAGGGTTCGGATTGCCCCAATAGCCTGCTCTTCTGAAAATAAAAACAAATGACTAGTAACCTCTATCCTCACCTCCTGCCGTCCTACAGCAATGACAACTCCATCCCGTGGCACCACCCGCAGGCCATAGCAGCACTATCACGGTTCCCCTCCCCCTCAACTCGACAGAAAGGCTCCTCACTCTGTTTCGGACTGGGTCTCTGCATCTTGAGGCCCAGCTCCAGCTGTTCCACGCACCACGCCAGTTCCCGGGCCAGCTGCTCCGCCTGTGATGAATTGGGGAGAGTGGCTATGAGACGGCAGCAGGACCCCGCGGCCTCCAGCCCCATCCCACCGGGACCCCTCCCACCCTCCCGTCCCATCCCTCTCCCGGCCTTAACTCCGAAACTCCGAGACCACACGCACCGGCCAGCGCACTCACACCCGGGATGCATCATGGATCGCCACCCTTCCCGACCGAGGCCCGCCTTGCCTGAGCCTCCGCGCTTAGGGGCGCTTCCTCTGAGGTCAGCTTTTCTGAGACCTTCCCGTCTCCATTCGCCACAGAGGCCCCATCCCGGACTTTCTTCTTCTTTTGCTTCTTGGAGGCTGCGGCGCCTCCGCGGCGTTCGGGGTGCTCCCCGGGAGCGGTGTCACTGCATGTGGAGAGCCCTAAGCAGAGACCGACCGGATGGGATCTGATGGCGGAAGGACTCGGGGCGTTGGGAAGCGATCCAGGGGGCCGGGGGCTGCGGGGCGCGCGGGCGGTACCTGGGCCTTCGGCCGCTGATTTCTCCCGAGCAGCACGTCCTAGGGTCTGGGGAAAGGGGGAGCAGCATAAGGCTCACGGGCGGCCGCCGACGGCCCAAGACCCCGGCACCCACACGCTTTCTCCGCGCAGCTCACCGCCATGCGCCGCCGTCGCCGCCGGAGATTACGTAGGGCCTGAGGTCCGATCCCAAATTCCCTCCTCCGGAAACGCGTCTGCGGCGCCGAGCTCCGCTGGGCGCGGACGGCGCAGTGGGCAGCCACCGCTCTGGATGGAAGGACAATCCCCAAACGAGGGAATTCTCTCAAAGCTCACCTAGTGGGGAGAGAAAAGCCGTCACAGAGAAGCGTCGTGAATAGCGGCCGAAACGGGGCGGCGAGTGGTCAGCAAAGACCTCCGGAAAGCAGCCCGTGCCAGGCCGGCGGGACTGGTCGGTTAGCGGGAAGGAGGCCGGGGGCAGGGGCCGCGGTGCAAGGCGAGGTCGGAGAGTTGGGCGAGATCCGGTCATGCAGGCGCCGAAGGAGAGCCTGCTGTCCGCTTTGATTTTGAGCGTAAGGGGAAGAGACGTTCATCCGAAGAGTGATGTGGTCCTACTCAGATGTGTGTTTTAAGAATCCCTCGCTGTCTTGGGACGAGGGCCGGACGGGCTGGGGGCGGGTGAGGCTGGGGATGTGGAGGGATTTCAGAAACAGGGGAAGAGCCTGCGCACTTGGTGGCCTGGATGAGCGCGGCAGGGGAGAGGGCAGAGAGGGAGCCCCCTCCCACAATCTGCCTTGCCCCTTTGGCCCCAGGGCCGACCTCCCATCCTACGGCACTACAGACCAGGGTGCCTCCTCCCTGCCCGGGGCCACAGGCGTCGGCCGACCTCCGCAAGAAGGACGAGGGGCTTCAGGGGGACACGAGTCTGAGTGCTGTCTGATGATATTCCTGTCAGGGACATCGGGGTAGAAGTGTCGTTTCCTGAGGCAGTGGATGGGCTGGGAGGTCTCAGAGGGTAGAAATTTGGTCATCACAGATAGTTGGTGTATTATTTATTGCAGCCTAACAAGTTGTCACAAAACTTAGCAAATCGAAAACAGTAAACATCTGGTACAGTTTCTGAGGATCAGGAATCTAGCAACAGTATAGCTGTTTGGTTCTAAGTTAGGGTCTCTGGTGACCCCTCTTGAAGGGAGGAATATCAAAAACTTTTAGACATATTTTTAAACTACCACAGTTAGATGTGTTTCAGTCCTGGCAGACTGGAGGTTTTGGTGGTGAGTGGGTTCCAGATCCAAAAGGGCTTTTTCCTGCCTTGTTTGGCTGTGAATCAACCTGTGTGACTTGGCCCAGAACTGCTTCTTCCAGAAAGCTTTCTCCACCCAGACATCTGTGTCTGAGCACAAGCCTCAGACCAGACTGTCCTCTTCCACAGCCCTATATGCAATCAGCCACCCAGTCCTATCAGTTTATCTCCTCAGTGGTCTCCACCCCTCCCCCCACACACACCATCTCTGCCCTGAACAACCTCAATCCAGGCCTTGCTAATCTCTGCACTTCCACTCCCTCTTGTCTGTTCTGAAACATCCTGTGGTGGGAGTGAGCTTTCTAAAACAAAAGCTATGTTACTCTCTTGCCTAGGAATCTGTTTCCTCCAGCATGAAGTCCAGGCTTCTTAGCTGACATGGACAGCTGTTTGCCTGACCTTCCAGCCAGCACATGCCCTACAAATCATACAGAGACAACTTTTTCCAGACCTCACTCTGCTCTGGTCCCACTGATTTCCCAGCCTTCTGACCTCCTTACAGGCCCCTGCAACCCAACTGGCCTCTGCCCTGCACAGACACCTCATTTTACTTCCCTGGCAGTACTAGCACCTATTCAAACCCCCAGACCCAGACAGCAGGGCCTTGAAGAACTTTAGAGGGGAAGGCGTAGAGGACCTGACTTACATGTCAATAAGTCTCCACATCTCTCCACTGCTTCCCACCCTCGCGTGTAAAAAGGACTCATAAAAGTAAGTACAAGTCTTCAGCTTCCTCTCCTTGGCTTCTGCACCTCCACAACAACCCCAGAAACCACTCCTAACATTTCACTCTCCATCACCATGGCTACTCCCTATTTCTTGAATAGATAAGTCTCCACTAGTCTCCACTAAAATGATCTTTCCTCTGCCTACTGCCCTAGCCTCTTTAGAAAATATATTACAAATTTCATACCTGCAAATATCAATATTCATATGCAGTCACTTCTTATTATTCAAGGTAGTTCTATAAAGTAACTGAGAACACTGAATTTGTGAATACTGAATCATCACTCCTAGGGGAAGTACAGTTGGGTTCCTGGGAGCCTCCAGTCACATTTTCATCAACCGATTGATACATTACCTTCTTATATATTTCTATTTAATATATATTAACATAGATCTAATATATGTTGTTGATTTATTAACATTGACGTCATGGCCAACAGCATGATGACTAGTGCCTGAATGAAGTTTATATAGCACATGTATTTTCTTTTTTTTTTTTAAAGATTTTATTTATTTGAGAGAGAGAAAATGAGAGATAGAGAGCACGAGAGGGAAGAGGGTCAGAGGGAGAAGCAGACTCCCCACTGAGCAGGAAGCCCGATGCGGGACTCGATCCCAGGACTCCAGGATCATGACCTGAGCTGAAGGCAGTCGCTTAACCAACTGAGCCACGCAGGTGCCCGCACATGTATTTTCTCCGTAAGGCACAGCATACCTTAGGAACACTATACAACCCCCAGCACTATGCTCAAGGGCCATTTTAAACAGCAAAATCACCACCAAAAAGCACAAGAATGCAAAAAAGTGTAACATTGAATATACTATGAAAAGGACACTGGTTTACAGTATGAGAGCAGGGTTGCCTGTTCATCCTCAGCTGGGAACATGTAAGTGTAGTGACCCAGAATTTTCATTACTCTGTGCATGTCTGTGAATGACTGTGAAAGCACGAGGGGAGGTTTTGGGGGTTACAAGTAAATTTTAGCAACCAGGTGAATTTGCAAATACGGAATCCATAATAATGAAGATTAACTGTATAAATAAATGTATTTGAAGATAAAAATAAAAAATGCATGTAACTACCACCCAGTTGAAGAAACAGAGCATTATCAATGTCTTTCAGGACTTATGTGTGCGTACATAACATAAATATTGGGATGCCTGGGTGACTCAGTTAAGCAGCTGCCTTCATCTCAGGTCATGATCCCAGGGTGCTGGGATCAAGTCCTGCATCAGGCTCCTTGCTCATCGGAGAGCCTGTTTCTCCCTCTGCCTGCCACTCCCCCTGCCTGTGCTCTCTCTCACTCACTCTCTGACAAATAAATAAAATCTTTTTTAAAAATAACAAATATGTATCTCTAAATAATACTGTTTAGTTTTGCATGTTTTGAACTTTACATACATTAAATCATCCTATATGTGTTCTTAAGCTTGTTTTTCTCAATAAGTTTGTGAGGGTTACACATGTTGCTGTGTACCGTTGTAGTTCACTGTCTTCACTGGTGATAATATTCTACTGTATAAGGAAACCCAACAATAAACATTCGTTTCTTCCACTTTTTTGTTTTTGTTTTTGCTGTTATAAACGTACTAGGCATATTCTTGGATGTCACCGATGTTCAGGTATTTCTCTAAGATCTATCTAGGAGTGGAAAAGCGAAGTTGTAGGGTTCTTTCATTTTCATTATAGTATACTTTGATGAAAAGAGATTCTTATTTTGTTTTTGTTTTTGTTTTTTAAAGATTTTATTTATTTGAGAGAGAGAATGGTAGACAGCACGAGAGGGAAGAGGGTCAGAGGGAGAAGCAGACTCCCCCCGAGATGCGGGACTCAATTCTGGGACTCCAGGATCATGACCTGAGCCGAAGGCAGTCACTTAACCAACTGAGCCACCCAGGCGCCCAAGAGATTCTTATTTTGAACATTGTTGAATGTATCAATCTTTTTATCTTCCCCTTTTGTGTCTTAAGAACCTTTTGTTAAGCTGGGATCATTCAAATTTTTTGTCTGGAAGTGATTTTTGTGTCTTTTGTAAAATAGGAGTTAGTTTTATTTTTTAAAATATGGATAATCAACTTTTCTAACTCCCATTTGTGGAATTCAAGTCTGCAATGCACCTCTGTTTGAAGTTCATTTCCACATATGCATGGATGTATCTCAGAGCTCTACACTGTCTTCCATTAGGCCTTTTGTATAGCCTCACAGTAATGCCACTCTGCTTAACTGCCAATCTTTACAATAAGTCTGATATACAGGGATGTCCATTATCACCACTGCTGTTCAACAGAGTACTGGAAGTTCTAGCCTCAGCAATCAGACAACAAAAAGAAATAAAAGGCATTCAAATCAGCAAAGAAATCAAACTCTCACTCTTCACAGATGACATGATTCTCTATGTAGAAAACCCAAAGACTCCACCAAAAAATTACTAGGACTGATACAGGAATTCAGCAAATCACAGGATATAAAATCAATGCACAGAAGTCAGTCATATTTCTATACATTAACAATGAGGCAGAAGAAAGAGAAATCCAACAATCAATCCCATTTACAACTGCACCAAAAACCATAAGAGAGCTAGGAATAAACCTAACCAAAGAGGGAAAGGATCTGTACTCTGAAAACTATAGAACACTTATGAAAGAAATCGAGGAAGACACAAAGAAATGGAAAAACATTCCATGCTCATGGATTGGAAGAACAAATATTGTTAAAATGTCTATGCTACCTAGAGCAATCTACACATTCAATGCAATCCCTATCAAAATACCATCAACATTTTTCACAGATCTGGAACAAACAACACTAAAATTTGTATGGAACCAGAAAAGACCCCAAATAGCCAAAGGAATGTTGAAAAAGAAAAACCAAAGTGGGAAGCATCACAATTCTGGACTTCAAACTGTATTACAAAGCTGTAATCATCAAGACAGTATGGTAATGGCACAAAAACAGACACATAGATCAATGGAACAGAATAGAGAACCCAGAAATGGACCCTCAACTCTATGGTCAACTAATCTTCAACAAAGCAGGAAAGAATATCCACTGGAAAAAAGACGGTCTCTTCAACAAATGGAGTTGGGAAAATTGGACAGCCACATGCAGAAGAATGAAACTGGACCACTTTCTTACACCATACTCCAAAATAAATTCAA